AAATTATAACTTGTCTTATAATTTAGCAAGCTAGCATTGGTGGCACTAAATAAACTTGTCACTTCCTTGGAAATAATAGATTGCTTAACTGAAAAAGACATTTAAAATACCTGTTTGAGACTGAGTGCAGTGACTCATATCTATAATCCCAGCACTTTGGGAGGTGGAGGCGAGAGGATTGCCTGAGCTCAGGGGTTCAAGACCAGTCTGGGCATCTTGGCGAGATTTTGTCTCTACAATAAATAAAAAAATTAGCCAGACATGATGGTGTATACTTGTAGTTCTGGCTACTTGGAAGGCAGAGGCGGAAGGAGTGTCTGAACTTAGCAGGTAAAGACTGTAGTGGCCATGATCATGCCACTGCACTCCAGCCAGGGTAACAGAGTGAGATACTGACTCAATTAAAAAAACAAAATACCTGCTTGGTACTCTTTGTGTGTATGGACCAACATTTTATTATCTAAACCACTATTGTTAGAAATATAAGTGTAAAGTTTTCTTTTCCTCCCATCTCCAAATCCTTGGGGTGGTCCCCTAATTTAAATAAAACTAAAAGATGAGTAAAATAAATATAAGAATCTTTACAGTTATAGCCATAATATATGTCAGTATTTTCTTAAGAGCATAAATTGCAGCCTGATTTCCCATTTGGGATCTGTCATTGACGCAGAAAAAAATTATTAGTCTTTAGTTTAATGATAAAAATAGAAATATAAGCAAGATCTCAATATTTTTCATTTATTTATGATGAGGAATATATTTATATATCTTTTATATCTTAATTTATTTTCAGATTAATTTTATACTAAAGTATATTAAATCTATCTACAGTTATTTGGAGACTGCTGCCTCTGTTCCTTTACTTTTTATTCTGGGGAGTGCCTGAAGTTAACATTTTTAGCAATTCGATGGCATGAGAATGTATTTACACCTATGAGGTAAGGTAAATGGTTTCTTCCTTATTTTCTATACTTTAAAAAAATATTATCTTTTGGCCTGTGTATACATAATATGAGAAATTTGTGAATGTTAACAGGAATTTCAGTTTCTAAGGCTTTATAAGTCCTTTCTTCCACTCTTTCCGTTCTGAATATTTTAATCTAGAAATCTGTTTAACTTGTTTTTATTTTGTTTCTCTTCTTGGAAGTGAGAACTTGTAAAAGATAAAATAGGCTATTGTTTTACTTGTCTTGGGGTTATAAATATAATTATTTTGGAAAATAACTCAATTGAAATTGTTTTAGTAGCATAAGTATTTGAATTTACTGTTGTACATTTTACATGCTCAAGGTTTTTTTGTTTGTTTGTTTGTTTTTGAGTCAAAGAGCCTCACTCTGTTGTCCAGGCTGGAGTGCAGTAGCATGACCTGGCTCACTGCAGCCTCTAACTCCTAGGCTCAAGCGATTCACCTGCATCAGCCTCCTGAGTAGCTGGGACTATAGGTGCATGCCACCATACCTGTTTCATTTATTTTATTTACTTATTTATTTTTGAATTGGATTCTCACTCTGTTGCCTAGGCTGGAGTGCTGTGGCATGATCATGGCTCACCACAGCCTTGACCTCCTGGGCTCAGGCAATCCTTCTGTTCCAAGTTGCTGGAACTACAGGTGTGTGCCAGCTTGCCTGTCTAATTTTTCTGTTTTTTGTTGAGATAGGGTCTTGCTATATTGCCTAGGCTTCCCTCAAATTCTTGGGCTCAAGCAGTCCTGCCTTGGACTCCAAAAGTGTTAGGATTATAGGTGTGAGCCAATGTGCCTGGCCTATTTTTTATTTTTTTGTAGAGATGAGGTCTAGCTATGTTGTTCAGGCTGGTCTTGAACTCCTGGGCTCAAATGATCCTCCCTCCTTTCACCTGCCAAAGTGCTGGAATTACAGGTGGGAGCCACTTCACCTGGCCTAAAGTGTTTTTTTAATTAAAAATAATTTTTATTCTAAAAAGTTCAATAAAACAAAAAAATACATTCAAAGTTTATAATGTCTAAGTCAGATTTAATAAAGTGGTTTTTAATATTTTGTTTATTTTTTGTGCCAACAGTACTTTATTAAGGTATAATTTACATAAAGGAAAACAAACACATCTTAAGTGTATAATTAGATGAACTGAAAAATATATACACCTGTGTAACCATCACTTTGATCAGTTGTAGAATGCAGACACTATCCTCTAAAATTCCTTCTTCTTTACTTTTTATATTCCTGTTAAAATGTTTGGTGTTATATAAAAATATGTTTACCTAAAACCTTTAGTGGAATCAGGTGTGTTTAGGGTTGACTGTGGAACATGGCTCTACCAACAGAACTCTGATATTGAGCTTATTTGACTAAGTGACAGCTGCCCTTTTGTACCCTGGAAGAATCTTCTGAAAGGTCTCTGTGGAGCCCCCTAAGTATGTGTGCACATGTAGGAATTTAGGTGGCCCTTTTAATTTTATGTTGTGAATTATATATCGATTTAAAAGTTACTATACTTTGAGTTTTCAATTATTTCATTACTTTCTTAGATCATTGCCATACCATGTTCATTGGTCACAGCAAGATTGTCTTCTGTGCAATCTAATGCCTAAATGTGAATCAATAAAGTCAAGAGGAGCTCTGATTTCTGCCTTTTCAAGAGACGGCCTTACCCTGGCAGTAACTCTTAATCAGAAAGACCCCAAGGTCAGTAAATAAAATCTGTCTTAGAAAGTAATCTATGAAAGGGGAAACTTATGCTAGTTTTGAGATTTTTTTCCTTGAAAATAGTTTTTTTTTCTTCTTTTTCCTCAATATTCCTTTATATTCTTTAGATGGGTTTTTCCTAATCTAACTTGACATTGTGGATTGGTAAAGATGTTTAGATTAGCTGCCATATTTTTCAAAATTTTCTGTTTAGAAGTGATGACAGGATAACGGAAAGGGGAGAAAGGGAAAGAGTGCACTACGTTGTTCATGAGGGATCCACTCCCATGATCCAAACACTTCCCATTAGGCTACATCTCCAACATTGGGTATCATATTTCTTTTTTTTTTGAGTTGGAGTCTCATTCTGTCGCCCAGACTGGAGTGCAGTGGCCGCTCCCGGCCACCGCAGTCTTGCCCTGCTGGGTTCTGGTGATCCTTCAGCCTCAGCCTTCCAAGTAGCTGGAACTATAGGCGCACACTACCACGCCTGGCTAATTTTTTATTTATTGTGGAGATGAGGTCTCGCCAAGTTGCCCAGGCGGGTCTCGAACCCGCGGGCTCAGGCCATCCACTCATCTCAGCCTCCCAAAGCACGGGATTACAGGCTGAGCCACCGAGTCCGGCTGGGCATCACATTTCCACTTAAGATTTGGAGGGGACACTCCAAAATGTCCAAATCACTAATATCCAAACCACATAAGGGGATCAGTATTGCCTTACTAGTTGGGAAAGTCTTTCTAGAAAGTTTATTAATATAATAATAGATCTCTGAGTTTCCAGAATTATAAATAATGGTTATAATAAAATAATTTTGATATTTGTTTTCTTTCTAGGCAACTCAGGTATTATTTATAAACACACTGAATTTTGTTACTCTCTCTGGTAGCCTTAAAGGATGTAGTAATAAGAATCCTGTGGTTCCAGCTACACTTATCAGGTAAGAATTCTTTTTTGTTTGTAAATAGTGTTATTTTCTTTTTAAACAATTAAAAACTTTGTTTAAATTTTATTTTATAATAGAGATGGGGGTCTTTCTATATTGCCCAGGCTGGTCTCAAACTCCTGGTCTCAGGCCATTCTCCCGCCTTGGCCTCCCAAAGTCCTGGAGTTACAGGTGTGAATCACCACACCTGGTCCTTCCAACAGTTTAACAAATTTAAGGCTCTAATTTTTTTTTTTTTTTTTTTGAGTTGGAGTCTCACTCTGTCGCCCAGGCTGGAGTGCAGTGACACAATCACAGCCACCCCAGTGTCGACCTGCTGGGCTCTGGCAATCCTTCCGCCTCAGCCTTCCAAGTAACCAGAACTACAGGCGTGTGCTACCATACCTGGCTGATTTTTTTATTTTATTGTAGAGACAATGTCTTGCCAAGTTGCCTGGTCTGGTCCTGAACCCATGGGCTCAGGTAATCCACTCGCCTCAGCCTCCCAAAGTGTTGGGATTACAGGCTGAGCCACTGAGCCTAGTGGGCTGGAGGCTTTAAAGTTGGCATTATCTGTATATGGGCCCACAGTAACGTGGTGATTTTGAATGGCACGTGAACTACCATTAGGATCAATGTGGAATTATAGAGGAGGAAGATTTTTTTCTTAGAGTTCATAACTTTTTCTGAGTACTTTTTTGTGCAGTTGTCTGAATTTCCAGAGGTTTCAGGTCCATCTAATCCTACCTCTTCATTTTCTTTCCCTTTCTACAAGTTTCTTTCCAAAAGTATTATTGATCTCTGTTAAGTCGTCTGTTTGATTTAGAGTATTCATCATTTTCATAAGGAGAAGCTACTTTTTAGTTCTCATGAAACATTACCAAATGATTAAGAAGTAGTAACAGTGACAACTTTGAGAAGAGGGAGCATCTGTTACTGAGTAGGACTCTAGAAGACTGCAGAAGGACAGGCATGGCCTTGAAATCTATCAGTAATCTTGGTATGGGTTCTGGTAGGGTTAAAATTCACTCTAACTGAAAGCTCAACTCTTTAGAGAGTATTTTCATTTTTGAATTGCTTATGAATCTAAATTTCTAGTTGGAATATTGTTGGACTAGGTGTTCATGAACAGACTTTTTTTATTCTGGGAAGTAGTATTCATAAAATGTATGTGGTGGTTGCCTGCTATTCATTGTTTGCCCTCATTTTTTAAAACTGTTGCTTGGTATATAGTCCATTATAAATTGTCAAAGACTTTGTAGAGAATCATTTCTAAACATGTTGTTACTTGTTTTTCTAGATCCTACTGGGTAGGTGATACCAGCTGGATGCATGATAGTCTTTTCCTGGCTTGTATGTTAAAACGTGGCTCCCTGGTTTTAATGACCTGCCAAGGTGAATTGTTAACGTTAGTTACATTTGGTTGCTCTATAGAATTTGGGCCAGCAGAATTTATTCCTCTTCATCCACTAATAACATATAGGTGAGACATTTGGATTCTGTTAATTTGTTTATAGAAGTTTTTCTCTTTTGTAGTACTTTTACTGTGCATTTAAAAAAAATAATTTCATCTTTCAAATTGTCTTATTCTTTCTTTGAGTCTGTCATCTCAATATCTGTTTCTTATTTATAGTTTTCTTCTATTTCTTTTTGTGGCTTAATCCTGGTGAAAATTTGACATTGTGACTATGTAAGTATAAGTTATTTAAATATTCAGTAGCACTAAAAATTTATCTTCTTTGATTGTTATAAAATAATGGCACTTAGATAAATTATTAACTCAAAAATAACTTGACATATGGATTTATCTATTTTTTCCCCAAAGGGAAAATATTGTTGGAAATGGATAAAAGACTTTAGGATTTAGCCATATTTTAATTTTGTTGTTGTTCCTTTTTATTAATTTTTTGTTAATACATAGTCTTTACATATTTATGGGGTATATGTGATATTTTGTTTCATACATAGAATGTGTAGTGAGCAAGTCACTATTTGAGGTACCCATTTTTTTTGAGTTGGGGTCTCAACTCTGTTGCCCAGGCTGCAGTGCAGTGGCACAATCACAGCTCATTGCAGCCTTGACCCTAATGGGTTCAAGCAATCCTCCTGCCTCAGCCTCCTGAGTAGCTGGCCAGTGCTATCACGCCTGGCTAATTTTTTTTTTGTTTTTTGTAGAGATGAGCTCTCACTGTGTTGCCTAGGAAAGTTTTGAACTCTTGAACTCAAACAATCTTCCTGCCTCAGCCTCCTGAAGTGTTAGGATTATAGGCATGAGCCACTGCCTTTATTTTAATTTCTAGTTGTGAGATGGAGTAGCAGTTTAGCTTTGGAATCAGACAGATCAAGATTCAAATACTGATTCTACTGCTCATTAGTTGTGTGACTTGGGTTAGTTATTCTTTAAGCCTCATTTTCTTTTACTATATAATGAGGGTGACAATAATTGTCTCTTAGGGTTGAGGGAATGAAGTAAAATAATACATGTTATAAATTATTCAGCACAGTTTTGGCATAAAGTGCTTAGTATTTGTTATGATTGATGTTAATTATATGTATATGTTTAGACTCATATACACAGCTATTTATAAAACAAAAATTGGAAAAGATCTTTGAAATTAATCCATTCCAAGCTGGGCTTGATGGCTCAGCCTGTAATCCCAGCACTTTGGGAGGCTGAGGTGAGTGCATTGCCTGAGTCCACGGGTTTGAGACTTGCCTGGGCAACTTGGCGAGACCTCATCTCTACAATAAAATCAAAAGTCAGCCGGGTGTGGTAGCGTGCGCCTGTAGTTCCAGCTGCTTGGAAGGCTGAGGTGGAAGGATAGCTGGAGCCCAGCAGGTCGAGGCTGCAGTGGCTGGGAGCGGCCACTGCCTTCCAGTCTGGGTGACAGAGTGAGACTCCAACTCAAAAAAAAAAAAAAAAAAAAGAAATTAATCCATTCTCTTTGCTTTAAAGAAAGAAAACTAGCCGGGCTTGGTGGCTCAGCCTGTAATCCCGCACTTTGGTAGGCTGAGGTGAGTGGATTGTCTGAGCCCGCGGGTTCAAGACCTGCCTGGACAACTTGGCGAGACCTCATCTCTATAATAAATCAAAAACTAGCCGAGCGTGGTAGTGCGCGCCTGTAGTTCCAGCTACTTGGAAGGCTGAGGCGAAAGAATCACCAGAGCCCAGCAGGTCGAGGCTGCGGTGGCCGGGTGTGGCCACTGCACTGCAGTCTGGGTGACAGAGTGAGACTCCAACACAAAAAAAAATTTAAAAAAAGAAATTAATGCATTCTCTTTGCTTTAAAGAAAAAAAATTAGCCGGGCTCGGTGGCTCAGCCTGTAATCCCACGCTTTGGTAGGCTGAGGTGAGTGAATTGTCTGAGCCTGTGGGTTCAAGACCTGCCTGGGCAACTTGGCGATACCTCGTCTGTACAATAAATCAAAAACTAGCTGAGCGTGGTAGTGCGCGCCTGTAGTTACAGCTACTTGGAAGGCTGAGGCAAAAGGATCACCAGAGCCCAGCAGGTCGAGGCTGCGGTGGCTGGGAGTGGCCACTGCACTCCAGTCTGAGCAACAGAGTGAGACTCCAACTCAAAAAAAAATAAAAATAAAAATAAAGAAATAGAGAAAACTGAGATTGGTTGTGTCCTTAATTATGTTTAGGAAAATTGATACTGAATTGTTAGCAATAGATAATGCTAATAGTAATATTTTTCCCTATTGTGAAAATATTTTTTCCTTACTGCTTATACCCTAGTTCATAATTGACTGGAATTTTCTCAGATTCTTCTTTAAAATTAATATTTGGGAGCCTTTCAAAAAAGATTAGAGATAACAGCTATTAGTTATCTCTTAGTGTGTTGGCCTCCAAATTTTAAAAATATTCACATATGGCTGGGCTTGGTGGCTCAGCTTGTAATCCCAGCACTTTGGGAGACTAAAGTGAGTGGATTGCCTGAGCCTATGGGTTCAAGATCAGCCCCGGCAACTCGGCAACTTGACAGGACCTCGTCTCTACAATAAATAAAAAATTAGCCAGGCATGGTAGCGTGTGCCTGTAGTTCTGGCTACTTGGAAGGCTGAGGCGGAAGGATCGCCAGAACCCAGCAGGTCGATACTAGGGTGACTGTGAGCATGCCACTGCACTCCAGCCTGGACAACGGAATGAGACTCCCAACTCAAAAAAAAAAAAAAAATCACATATAATTTATAGTAATAGTGACATTTTCACTTTTTAAAGATAAGATAAAATATATATGTACCGCTTATAATTTTTTTGTTCTAACAGTTTATCTTATACATATTTCCATGTCAGGCATTATATTTTAATAGTTCTAAAGATTTCTGTGGTGTGTAAATCCTATAATCACTAATCTTTTGTTGGCTAATTACAAAATCTTTATTTGAATAGTTGTTTAACTGGAAAAAAATTACAACACATTATAATGGTTTTTTTCCCTTTGTATTTATAAAACCCCAAACTTTATAAGGAGTGATATTAAGTAGTCAGAATCAGATAAATTACAATAATAATAAGTACATTTATGTGGCAATTCAGTCAAACTTAATCTCAGAATGATACATTTTATTCACCATCATTCTCTCCAAATGTTCTTTTCAGTTTTTTTCCTTGCTGCTCCTTAATAAGTATACTGATGATTCATAATTGTATTTCTAGGAATATATTTAAATTTTTGGTAAGAAGGAAAGTTAACTGTTTAACTCTTTTGTAGTAAAAAAAAAAAATGCCGTAATTGTTTTCTGAAATACGTTGTATATTAATTAAGAACAAAATAGAGTAAATGTCATCATTCAGGAAAAAAATTTTAAAACATATAAGCTTATATGTTATTTATTTATTTTTTATCTTTATTTTTTTGAGTTGGAGTTTCACTCTGTCACCCAGACTGGAGTGCAGTGGCACGCTCCCGGCCACCGCAGCCTCAACCTGCTGGGCTCTGGCAATCCTTCCGCCTCAGCCTTCCAGGTAGCTGGAACTACAGGTGCACGCTACCACACCCGGCTAGTTTTCTTTGATTTATTGTAGAGACGAGGTCTCGCCAAGTGGTCCAGGCGGGTCTCGAATTCGCGGGCTCAGGCAATCCGCTTGCCTCGGTCTCCCAAAGTGCTGGGATTACAGGTTGAGCCACCGATCCCGGCCTGCTTATATGTTATTTAATAATTGTTTTCCTGACAGATATATACACATTTCGTATTTGTGTGTTTCATCTACTTGATTTTTCATCATTCTGTAACTTTTATTAATTTGCTTTTTCGGGGAAAAATATGATTGTTTTCTTCAAGATCTTTCTCTGATTCTTGAATTTTGATGTTTGTTTATTAGACCACAGCAGTTTACATTTCAAGATTCAAATAATTCTGTAGATTCATCAGCTTCTGATAGTGACCCTATGAGACAGAAATTTTCTATAAAAGCACATTCACGGTTACCCTACCTCATTGTTTCTGATGGATACATGGTCACGACCCTTCGATTTCTTGATAACCTGTCTCCATCAGTGCTCATAAGATCACTTCTACTTGATTCAACTCAGAGACTTGAGAGAACATACCAAAGTATGATGTTGTCTAAGGTAGGTATAATGCTTTTTGGTATCATTGACAAAAGTTGTTTTTTTTTTTTAATATTTAAAACTATACTGATAGTGATGTCCTTAAATTGTATATAGTTTTCTATACAATTTTTAATTTTATTTATTTATTTTAAAGATGTGTGGTACAGTTCAGGGATAAGTATACAAATGGTCATTGTGCAGGTACCCTTGTTGATGAGGTGTGCTCCCCCACCCCTCACAGAATCCCACTACTGCCAATCCCACTCACCTCCCCGTGGCATTTCCCACTACTGACAATCCTTTTCTTATAATATTATGATAATTGTTCAAGGTTCAGTTATGGGTGAGAACATGTGATACTTAGTACTTTTTTCTGTGATAGATCACTCAATATTATAGACTCTAAGTCCATCCAAGTTTCTGTGAAGTTCATAAAGAAGTTCCTTCTTTATGGCTGCGTAATATTCCATCATGTATGTGTACCACATTTTTTTTTATCCAGTCTTCTTTTCTTTTGATGGGCAGTTACGGTTGGTTCCATGTTTTTGCTATTGTGAACAGTGCTGCAATAAACATGCATGTCCAGGTATCTTTTTCATAGAGTGATTTGAGTTCCTCTAGATATATTCCCAGTTGGGGGATTGCAGGGTTGTATGGAAGGTCAATTTTGTTTTTGTTTTTTTTGAGTTGGAGTCTCACTCTGTCGCCCAGACTGGAGTGCAGTGGCTGCTCCCGGCCACCGCAGCCTCGACCTGCTGGGCTCTGGCGATCCTTTTGCCTCAGCCTTCTGAGTAGCTGGAATTACAGGCATGCGCTACCATGCCCGACTGATTTTTTTATTTATTATAGAGATGAGGTCTCGCTGCCTAGGTGGGTCTCGAACCCATGGGCTCAGGCAATCTACTCACCTCAGCCTCCCAAAGGCGCGGGATTACAGGCTGAGCCACCGAGCCCAGCTGGAAGATCGGTTTTTTAGACGTTTTAGGAATTGGCAAATTATTACAGAGGTTGTACTAGTTTATACTCCCACCAACAGTGTAGTAGTGTTTCCTTATCCCCACATCCTCTCCAGTATCTGTTGTTTTTTGAGTTATTGTTGGTGGCCATCCTGACTGGAGTTATGTGGTATCTCAGTGTGGTTTTAATTTGCATTTCTTTGATGACTAGTGAGGCTGAGCATTTTTTCATGTAGCTGTTGCTTGCTCAAATGACTTCTTTTGAGAAGTGCCTATTCATATCTTTTGCCAATTTTGTAATGGGGTGGGCTGTTTGTTTTTGTAAATCTTTAATTGTTTGTAATACAAATTACAGATAACATTTTGCTTTTGGAAATCTTTTATCTTTTCTCATGCAGCCAAAAAGCAAAGGACTGAACTTGCGATCACTGAATTCCCTAAGGTCTAGTCTGTTAAAACACCAAGGAAATGAAAGTTCAACTGAGTCTACTATACCCAGATTCTTGCAGGCAGAGGAAACAATGAAGTTAAATAAAAAAACAGCAGATTTTCAGGTACTTAATAGCAGTATTTTACTTACTTTGAACAATTACATACTGACTTTATTCTAAGAAACATATTTTGTTTTTCTCTTGTTAAAGAGAAGAGAAATTTGAGAACACCAAAGTGATTCTATTCATGAGATACTAATGGCCAGGTGGAGAGGCTCACGCCTGTAATCTCAACACTTTGAGAAGTTGTAGTTGGAGAATCATTTGAGGCCAGGAGTTCAAGATCAGCCTGGGCAACATAGTGAGACCCCCGTCTCTATAAAAATAAAACATTTTTAAAAATTAAAAAAAAAATAGCCAGGTGTGGTGGTACACATCTGTAGTCCCAACTACTCAGGAAGTTGAGGCAGAAGGATCACCTGAGCTTAGGAGATTGAGACTGCAGTGAGTGTGATTGTGTCACTATACTCCAGCCTGGAGAGTGAGACTGTAACTCAAAAAAGTGTTAAATGGTGTTAAGCATTATTTTTTCTTTCATGTTTAAGGGTTTTGAAGCAGAAGAAACTAATGAAGACAGATACGTTTTTCACAACTCACTTCCTTTTTGGAACCAAAAAAATGATCTGTTTAGTAGTGTCAAGGAAGGAAGACTGGAATTTGCATCTATGTTTGATACGATACATGTAAAGGATGATACTGAAGAGACAGATAAAACCATTACAGAACTGCATTCTATCCAGAAGAATCTACTTGCAGCATGGAGTATAGCAATTTCAAAAAATGTATCAGAAAAAAATGTAATGTTAAATTACACAGTAGTTTGTATCACTCATTTTTTCTACATTCTTCAATTTGTAAAATACCCTTTCCCCAACCTGGCTCTTTTTTTAAGCAAGAACTCAAGACATAATGCATGGTTGCCTTGTATCTTTCAACTTTTTCATCAGTGTTTATCTATCCAGTATTGGGATATAAGATACAAACAAGATGTAGGGCATTTGATAAAGCTGACCTCAAATACTATAAAGCTTTTGCTAACTCATCAACAAACAAGTCAGTTATTCTCAGAGAAACTTTTAGCCTGTTTTTATTTACTCAGAATGGTAGCTGACAGCTTAAATGGTGTATATAATCTTCAGCCTGAAGTTATTTCAGCATCAACTGATGGAAGTAGAGCAGCAGATCAAGACTCATTGGTGGTACCTATTTTTCAAATGTTTCGAGACAGTGGTTCTCAGGAAGACTGGTCTTTGAACTCATCTTTCAAGATGCATCCTCAAGCAGTCAATCCTGTACAACAACCAGGACACAGGTATAATTGCTTTCTTTAATATTAGGATACTGTTAGCATCATAGATTTTTCAATTTTTAAAAAACTGAGATTTTAAGTCTCATAATGTAAAATGCACCATTTCAAAGCATACAACTTAGTGTTTTTTTAGTGTATTTACAAGGCTTTCAAACTATAAGCATTAATTTCAGAAAACTTGTATCATTCCAGAATAACCTTGTATCCATTAGCTCTCAGCATTTAGGTTTTATGTTATTTTAAAAATGTTTACATATGTATATCAAAAATATCATGTTATATATGACAAATATTACAATTTTAATTTGTTAAAAATATTTGAGGATTTATGCTGAATGTGTATACTACACATTTTTAAAAAATCTTGAGCAATCACGATGTTATTGAAAGATTTTGGTTTAGTTAAGTACTATTAAAAAATAACCACAGGTGAATAAAACATTTATGAAGATTTTTAATGTATATTATGCAGTTTTTTGATCATTGGACTTTGTGCTATATTTATATCTGATCAATTTGTATATATGTTATTATGTCGGTAGAGAATACAAGCTAGCCGGACGTGGTGGCATGTGCCTGTAGTTCCAGCTACTTGGAAGGCTGAGGCAGAAGGATCTCCTGAGCCCAGGAGACTGAGGCTGCAGTGGCCGTGAGCGTGCCACTGCACTCTAGCCTGGGTGACAGAGTGAGACTCTGACTCAAAAAAAAAAAATACAGGCAAAAAAACAGGCTAAGAAGGGACCTGTGCTTATTACAGCCTGAAATTTGGTTTTGATGATTACCTGATTTTGTGTACAGATTGATTGTTCTCTGGAGAGTATTGTACAAAAAAACTTTATGGTATCAAGAGCAATTAAGTCAAAGAACTCCTGAAGGTGACAGACAGTTACCTGAAGAGATGGTGCATGAAGCTTCTACTGTCAAATCCCTATTATGTCATATACAGGCCAACTTACAGACTGCTGGAGATCGCTTGAACCAACCCTTAGAACTTAAATCTATCACTGGTCAGTATTCTATAAACATTTTCTAACTCCATGTATAAGTGATATGTTAACAAGGCTTTGATTTTTAAATTTAATTTGTTTCTCAATATTTTTGACTGAGTTGCACTCATTGAATTTTAAAACAAAGTAAATTATAAAGTAATTAATTGTGACTAATTGTTGGTTAAAAACTTTCTAGGTGAAGAGTGTTTCTTATTAGGTTCATATGAAAAGTCTGTTCAGCTGTGGAAAAAAGCTGTACAAGAAATTCAAGAGAAAGGTAGGAAAGTGTTAGAAAATAATATGTCTTAACATTGATAAGTACATATTTTAGCTTGCTTCAGAGCTTAAAAATAATTCCAAACTTCATAGTGCCCGTGGTATCTTAATGTTCAAATAGAATACACATTGTAGGCAACTTGGCACTCAGAAATACTTATTTTAAATTATTCTTAGTCTTGGAAATAAATGTATTTTATGACTGCTTGGATTGTATGTTTCATTTATTTATCTACTTAACCAGTATTTGTTGAGTGCCTACTGTGTGCCCAGGACTTTATTAGGGACTAGAGAGATAACTGAAATATACAACTTTACCTTCAAGTTGCCCATGATCACTTTTCTCATTATGTTGTATGGTAGGTGCTTACAGAGCACAGAAGAGAACTGTGATACAATTTGAGGCTGGAGTGCAAGCATCAGTTGGGAAAACCTGGAGGAGATGACCTTTAAAATTGAGTATAAATTGACTGAGTAAGGTAGTAGGAATGCCTAAACAGAGGATATAGCATTCCAAAACCTGAAAGACCTAGGAAACCGTGACAGTTTGGTAGACTGCAAGTAGTTCAGTAAGACTTGATTGTGATATCATGTATCTAATATTGGTGATAAGATGATGATAGCTAAGGTGAGAGGGAGGTAGAGAACAGATGATGAAGGAAGATCTTATATGGAGTGCCAAGGGATTAAGATTTTATCCTGAAGACAGCAGTATCTTGTAAGATACTTTATGTAGGAAAGGGCCTGTTCAAATCAATATAGACCATTTAGAAGGATAACTTTGGTACAGTTGTGAAGGGTCATTTGTAGGAGGAGTATGGTTTAGAGATGTGGGTTTTACCTAGAAGCAAGAAAATCAGTCAGATGAGGAGGCTCTGAACCAAAGCAATGTCAAGAGTATTGAAGAACAGAGGTCATGTTTGACAGATATTTAATAGGTTTGATCAGTTGTACGTGTGTTTAACTAGATTTGGAGAAAGAAGGCTAATGTAGTTCTCAGATTTGAGGATTGTCCAGCTGGATGAAGAAGAGTGGCATCCAGTGAGATGGGGAGCTCTAAATAAAGAAAAGTTTTCATGCTGGGCATGGTGGCTCACTCCTGTAATCCCAGCATTTTGAGAGGCAGAGGCGAGAGGATTGACTGAATTTAGGGGCCAAGAACATCCTGGGCAACTTGGCAAGACCTTGTCTCTATAATAAATTAAAAAAAAAATTAGCTAGGCATGATGGTATGTGCCTGTAGTTCTAGCTACTTGGAAGCCTGAGGCAGAAGGATCGTCTGAGCCCAGAAGGTCGATGCTGTGGTTGCCCTGATTGTATGAGTGTACTCTAGCCTGGGTAACAGAATGAGACTCTTAACTCAAAAAAAGAAAAGTTTTAGTAATGAGTTCTGTTGTGGACATTTTATTTAATTTCATTTCCAAGTGTATCCATTAGGAATAGCTTCTAGTAATGGAGACTGAAAGTAGCAATGGCTTCAACAGAGAGAGACTTTGTCTTATGAAAGGAGAAGTTGATAGTCTGGGGCTGATTTGATGTTTCCTTGCTATCATCAAGGACCTAGGCTCCTTCAGTTTTTCTACTGCATCATTCTTAGTGCATTGCTTCCAAACTTAAGGCCATTATAGGCTAAAATGGTAGCTGGAGCTCCAGCAATCACATTCTAGGCAGCAAACAGGAGGAAAGTAGGAAGGGTCTGCCGCCTAGCTGATTTACTGCTCTTTAAACAATTTTCTTGGAAATTCTATACAATATTATCTCTTGGTTCAGAGCCTAGTCACATTTTTATATGACTACATCTAGTGAGAAATTGTGATCTGGGTTCATTGTAACCATAAATAAAATTGGATTTTTTTGTGTGTGTGTGTGTTGGCTCCCGGCCACCGCAGCCTCAACCTGCTGGGCCCCAGTGATCTTTCCGCCTCAGCCTTCCAAGTAGCTGGAACTACAGGAGCGCACTACCATGCCCGGCTAATTTATTGTAGAGATGAGGTCTCACCTGCCCAGGTGGATCTCAAACCCGCGGGCTCAGGCAATCCACTCACCTCAGCCTCCCAAAGGCACGGGATTATAGACTGAGCCACCGAGCCTGGCTTACCTATTGTTTTTCTATTCCCGCAGATAAGGTACAGTATATAGGAGTTAATAACACATATTTCTAGTCCCCAGAAGAATAATTTCCTCCACCATATTAAAGATTTTCACAAAAACCAATATGTAAAAGTATGTAGGTCCACGTGATTCACATCGCTCATATTTGCAACATAATTTAAAATAATTTCAGGCTTTTTGACTGATACAATATTTCCACCATGTAATGTCCTTGTGGTAGATTCCTGTATGATTCCAAGTGCTGAGAATTCTAACAATCCTTTTGTCCTTCTACACAAGAAGTATAAGATTATTTTTCCTATACACTACTTTTTTTTCATTAAAACCTTTGGCTTTTTGATTTGTGCTGGTAATACACAAGCATTTTATCTTAATATAGTTATCTTTTCTTTAACTGTTGCTTGAAGTGGTTTAGTAAAGTCATGAAAATAATTTTCTGAGAATATATTTTGATTCTTTAAAAAAATCTGTATAAGAGACTACAGAGTATTTGAATTGCGTTTTTCAAAGAGGTGTGTTTAAATTAAGCAATAACCAGAGGGAAAGATATATATGAATAAACACATAATATATTTATAACAGTTATAGGGTGGTAGACTTTTTTTTTTTTTTTATTATGGTTTTGTGGGGTACAGTTAAGGGTTAGGTGTACAATGACGTTTCATTCAGGCACCCTGTAGATAAGAAT